CTCTGCCCTTCCAAGCATGATGTCCTTCTCCAAGGACTCGTCCCTCTTGGCAAGATGCCCAAAGTATGTGAGTTTGAGCTTCAAAATCCTAGCCTCCAGAGGAACAACTTGGTTTCACTCTTTCCAGGACAGACCTGTTTGTTCTCTTGGCAGTCTGTGGTATGTTCAGTATTTGCAGCACCACAGCTCAAAGCCATCATTTCTTTTGTCGTCCTCAGCCAATGTCCAGCTCTCTGATGCATAGCAACTAATTGCGAAGCCCATGGCCTGGATCAGGTGCACCTTAGTCTCTAGACTAACATCTTTGCTCTTTGGCTCTCTGGAGAGGTCCCTGACAGCAGAATTTCCTAATCCTATTGAGCATAATTAAGTATTCTGGGATTCCCATTTTCTATTAGTTGTTGTTGTTATGTGCTGTCGAGTCACCTGCGACTCATTGACCCTATGTACAACACCTCTGAACCCTGCCCTGTCCTGAGCCAGTCTCACTGACTCTGACACACCTACCGCCATTGCCCCGGTTACTGTATCAATCATCTCATAGAAGGTCTTCTCCTGCACAGTCCCTCCACTCTTCCAAGCATGACGTCCTTCTCCAAGGACTGGTGCCTCCTGGCCACGTGTCAGGATGTGCGACAGAGCTTCAAAATCCTAGCCACCAAGGAGAAACTTGGTTTCAACCTCCCTTTGTTTTTTTGGCAGTGCAAGACTTTTCTCCAGCACCACAACTTAAAGGCATCGATTCTTCTTCTGTCATTCTGAATTTTTTTTTTAAAAATTAATTAATTTTTTATTTTCTTGGCAGTGCAAGACTTTTCTCCAGCACCACAACTTAAAGGCATCGATTCTTCTTCTGTCATTCTGAATTTTTAAATTAAAAATTAATTAATTTTTTTAAAAGAAGGGAAAAAAGCTTTCAAAACAAAAATTTCAATATCAAAGACAAAACCAATATTATAATGGTAATGAGAAAATCAAAACAGATAAGGAGACAAAAAGAAAATCAGAATACAAAAGCATAATATACAAAGGAAACAGGGTAAGGGAATGCTATGGAGAAGGTGAAATATTTTTAAAAAATAATAAACAAAAAATAGGAAAGAAAAAAAATTATGGACCTTGATGGTGGGGTGGGTCTGGGCACTTGAGTTGTACTCTTGCCACTGCTGTGATGAAGGTGTGGTTAGAATGTAAAGTCAAAGTGTTTATTCTGGGACAGTGTGTCTGCCAGTCCAGCAAAAATTTAGGGTGATAGTTCCCAGTCAAGATATCAAGGGGATGATTTCCAAAAGAGCACCAGGAGCCTCTTTGAGTAGGAACTAGTCTGATTCTGATACAATATTCTGATAGAACACTTCTACAGAAAAAGATACAGACATTGGACAAGAGCAAGTGAAAGAAATGGGAGTTTATTAGACATTCATAACAGACCATGAATCGGTCAAGACAGACAGAACCTATCCTGATCTTATATATGAGTATATACATGTTTTTCAGTAGGGGTTGAGATTGCACAGCTTCTGATGGATTAATGGGGGCCCTTGGCATCTGTTCTTCCGCTATCCTCTTTCTTAGATGAGTCTGTTTCCTTTGTGTTGTTTTGCTGCCATTTCATACCATTGTCTAAAACAGTTTCTAATGTATTTACTTTGTTAGTATTTCCTTTGCTATTTCCTGCCAAGGACAGAATTTCTGCTTGTCTAACAGTTGACTGAGAGCCCAAGATGTGTGCTGGGCCTCTTCTGGTCTAGAGGGCACCGCGGATTAGGGATCCCAGCCTTGGATAGAGCTTCTCCTGCACTTACAGGTGACTAGGATAGTCCATCTGGCCAGGGATGTAATCTTTGCCAATCCAGTGAATAGCTGCTAGTCATCAGAGATGGCCTGCTCTGGCAGTGTGAAGAGATGTCACTAATTGCCAACTAAAGATGCTTAAGAGTACCATCCTCCACAGAGGGTGCACTGCTCCAACTGAGAGTATAGTAAGTGTTGGTGGTGGTGTTTTGTGTGGTCGAGTCGCTTGTGACTCAGCGACCCTGTGTACAAGAGCACCACACACTGCTCTATCCTGTGCCAACCTTGTCCACACACACACACACACACACATACACATGGATACATAGTGCACACGTGTATATATACACATATGTGTATACACGCTCACACATATGTTGTTGTTTTTGTTGTCTTCAAGTTGAGCACAACTCATAGCAACCCTATGAACAAAAGGCCTGAAGCCCCTCTAAAACTATCGACTTTTATCAAAGTTCATAGTTTCCAGAAGCATGTTATTTACAAAGTGGATGTCATTCCTGCTACCAAATCTGTTTTTATATATAT